TTTCCTGCACTGCCTTGCTCCTGTCTGCCAGCAGGGCCCCATCGCTCTACAAGGCTACAAGGCGGATATGGAGAACAGCTGGTGTCTGCACAGACAAACAGGGCAGGAAGAATGGCAGGAGCCGACAGACATCATGCTGGGCCAAGTAACAGGGAGGCTCCAGCCCTGGGGACCAGGAAGAGACTTAGGAAGAAAGCTGGCAAGAAGGAAGTCTAGGAGAAGGTGCTGAGAGCTTGACCCTGGCCTGGAGTTCCTACCAGCACTCTGTTCCAGGAGGTCTGTCATTCAAGAAGCTCACCTACCAGTGGGGAAAAGCAAGATGCTCAAATAAGATGCAAGCTCAGTGCAGCAAGACGTTCAGACAACTTAGGGGCTGGGGCTATGTGGTTTAAACACTCTGGATTTGCATCTCAGCTCCATTTTTTACTGGGTGGGTGGCCTTAGCTCTTCTAAGAGAGTTTCATCATCTATAAAAGAAGGATAAAAGGACAACAGCTACAACAGAGCTACTGTGCTGATGAAATGAAATGAAAATCCAGTTAACACTGCTGGCAAGGAGTGAGCTTTCAATAAATACTGGCTATTATGACTTGTTTGGAGTTAGGAAATCCCACACATTGCTCTGTCACTTTGTACAAATGATTCCACCTCTCTGAGTCTCAATTTTTCTAACATGCCAGACTGTTCCGGAGTCTAAAGGAGACAGTGTGCACACGTATCTAGCAAATCAGCACACGCTGCTCCACTAATGGAATGCGTGTCATTTAGGAGTGTGTGGGGAGTCTACCTGCCCTGTGGGTGAGTTTCTGAGGGCAAGCCTGGATGCTCAGATGAAGGGAGTTTCCTGTGGTATAAGGTTAGAGCCCAGGGGACAAGCAGAAGTTAAAACAGGACCAACAGGTAAGGGCAGAAGAAGGAGAAGGAAGTACTTCTTATCCCCCACGAGTCTTCCTATTATGTGAAATCTGGAAAGAGAAACTAGAACTTTCTCCTGCCCTGTGGACACCCAGGGGAAGCTCCTGTGGGGCTGTCCGGATGACATGGATGACTGGCAAGGAAGGAGCCTCTTCTACCTCCACCCTTTCTTTGCTTCTGGGAAAAGCTGCTTTACTCTTTGCCATGGGGAGGGAACCCACATCCAAATTCCCTGGCAGTCTGGGTTCACGGTGAAACGTCTCTAGCCAGGACTGGAGGGGCCATGCCCAGGTGCACTAGAGACAAAGTCCTATTCACATGTACTTTCTACTTCTGAGACTCAGCCCTATGCAGCAGAAAGAGCAGGACTTGTGAGTTGGAAAACACCCTGGATTGAAATTTTGGTATTCACCATTCACTACTTGGGGAAGTCCCATCAGTAGTCTGAGCCCAAATGTGTCCACCGTGAAAATAATAATATTGATCGGTCAGGGTTGGTGGAAGGATTAAAGAAGATAATGGAGGCCAAGTGTCCAGAAGTGGCTGACATCTATGGCAGTCCACATAGTATTTGTTATTATTGATTTTCTCTGCCTATTATCACCTCAAAACCAGTCTCCTGCAGGGATTAGCTGGGTCCAAGAAAAAAGGAGAAAACATTTGAGAGGTTGGAGTGTATGTAGAAGTTACACTGGGAAATTTAAATTATGAAAAGTGTTATTTTGAGATTCCTTTCTTCTTGAGGACTCAGTTGTCCAGAATCTTGAACCTGAGGAGCCCTGTACACCTTGGGCAACTGGAATAACTAGGACAAAGTTGACTCTGCCACAAGAGAGCCTTAAATCTAAGACATACTTCACATGCAGCTCTAACAGGCTCTCCCCTGCTGCCCCCCACTGTGTTCACCTTCACGTGAAAATCTCCTACTCCTTCAGGTCCCAAGGTACATGTCACTTCCTTAGGAAGCTTTCTTTGTCCTTGACAGTCTTCTCCCTAAAGTCCTGCCCTTCTTCTTCATTGCCTCTCCCACAAAAGGGACTGAATGCGTAGTCATATGGCTTGTTGCTTGATATCAGGTTCCCTGGTGGACAGTAAGTCTCCCAAGAGGAGCAGCCCTGTCTGCCTGGCTCCTACCATGTGCACACAGCCTGACCCAGAGCTGGGCAAAAGATGCTCAGTGGACATTCAGCTCACTTGAGGAAGGAAGGCTAGCCATCTTCCTTCTGCTGTCTTGCCAGTGGAAAGGAAAAATATTTAAAGTGGAAGATGAGAAACTTTTAAGACAAAAATTTCAAACCACATTTATAATGAGGGGTCCTTTGAGAAGAGGTGGTACTGATCTCAGAACTCTGGAGCCTGAAGTTGTTGCAACTGACCCCAGTTCAAGAGTCACAAATGGAGACAGGCCTTCTTAAAAAAAAAAAAATTATTCACACACACACACTCTCTCTCTCTCTCTCACACACACACACACACATATGCACACACATATTGAAACCAAAGTTACTATAAAAATTTGGAGTCTACACTTCAATCTCATGACTTCGTCTCCCTACTGTACACTCTGTAATAAAGAGTAAATATATTTAATGATATCTCACCTAAAATAAACCCCAGTTTTAATTTTATTTTTATATTTTAGTACCTAAGTGGCAGTAGTCAGGGAATGAGAGAGCTGTTCTCTCATATTGATAGTGTAAGATAGCTTTAATTCCATAGAAACTTCTATGTAAAACAAACTTCATTTTCCATTCATTTTCAAAAACAGCCTACTCCAATAGAATGAAATAGAGATAACTATGGTATACATTCATTTGGAAAGAGGTATCAAGAACTATAAAAATGTTTACAACGTTTATCTGAGTCATTTCAATCCTAAGGATCAATTGTAAAGAAACAAGTATTTATGTGCAAAGATGTTTGTGAGTGCCATTATTTATAATTGTAAAACACTGAAATAACTGAAAAATTAAAAATAAAAGTGGAAGCAAATAAATTCCTGTAATCACCATCATATATAATAAACAATAATACAGAAAAAGTACAGTCAGAAAGTTCACACTAATATTATATAATTATATATAAGATTTGCTGTGCTAAGTCAACAAAACCAAATAAAACATGATCCCAATCTATAAATTCAGCGATATATACATACACACATATATCTTCAAACTTAACAAAGTACACAGAAAATACACCCAAAAGAAATACAAAATATAAAAAGAAAACAGAGGCTATCTTTGGACTTTAGGACAATAAATGGATTCATTTTTTAAAAAATATTTTTTAGGGCTGGGGATGTGGCTCAAGCGGTAGTGCGCTCACCTGGCATGTGTGCGGCCCAGGTTTGATCCTCAGCACCACATACAAACAACGATGTTGTATCCACCGAGAAATGGAAAATAAATATTAAAAAACTAAAAAAAATATTTTTTACTTGTCAATGGACCTTTATTATTTAATTTATTTATATGTGGTGCTGAGACTCGAACCCAGTGCCTCACATGTTAGGCAAGCGTTCTACAAGTGAGCCATGACTTCAGCCCCAGTAAATAAATTCTTTTGTTCTCTTCTTTCTGGACTTTCCAAAGGATAGAATATATACTGTTTCATAATCAGGAAAGACAATAAAATTTTAATAGAAAGCAAATTTTATTTTCCTGTGCAAAACAATATATGCCTTCAGTATTCTATAAAACAATCAAAACCTTGGAGAAAAGGGTAAGCATCCTAAAATTCATTGCTACACAGGAATGAATGATCCTAGGGAACCCTAGCATCCTTTCTGTCAACGAGCAACAGTGCCCCCATTTGAGTGTGTCCTTATTCATCCCTGAATGTTACAGTCAGAGCATTCTTTCTTGAAGGAACCAACTCTGAAGGATGTTGCATATAAAGGGACGTGGACTGGAAGCCAGGAGACTGGCTCTGGGTTTATTACTCAACTCTGCCACATTGCACAAATCATTCCTCCTCATGGGCCCTCAGCATCCCACTAATAAAATAAGAAGTTTGTGGCAGATAAACACAGAGAGAACTTCAGCCAAGACTGACTATGATTCTTGGCCTGACTTTTACAGGAAGATCGAGTGCAAATGATGGTTGAGATGGAAGGACTTTTCGGCTCACTTTATTTATTCATTTATATTTTGTGGTGCTGAGGATCGAACCCAGTGCCTCGCATGTGCTAGGCAAGCACTCTACCACTGTGCCACAACCACAGCCCTTCATCTCACTTTAAAGATGAGTGTAAATATAGAAAGAGTTTCCCATTAATTCATTCACCACATGCTTCTCAACTTGGGTTGGGTGAGTTTAGCACCCCTTAGCTCTTGGCTGGATCCTCAAACTCTGATGCCAGCTATAGACAGGAGGCAAACAGAGGCAGCCCCTCTTCCATGAGTGTTTGATAAGCATCTTACTCAAATGCTCCAGTTTTACTGAATTGCTCCTGTGTGCATCCAAACGGCAAAGGAAGAAAATCATGACCAGTATCCCCCCTCTCCTCCACTCCCAGTTCCACAGGTGGGAAAACAAAATGGGTGATAAAACGTTCCAGGGTCATGTGTCTTATTGGGGATTTTTTCCATTTTCTCTCTCCCCCCAGACTTCAGCCACTGCTCCCTAAATACATAAATTCTCTCTCTAGGATTTTGCATTCCAAAGTACATGTGAGGTAGAAATTACCATCCCCAAACACTCTTTCTTTGCCACTTCCCTACCCCTTCTCCTTACCCTTCAAGTTTAGGTATAGATACAGCTTTCTCTGCAGGGCCTGTCTAATGCCTCACCTGGTTCCTCATAGCACATGTAATTACCTTTTCAAAGTACTTATTTATTGGCTTCCATAGCTGACTCTAAGCTCTCAGGACCACATCGGCCAAGGTCATCCAGGGCCCAGCACATGCTATTATAATGCCTAACTTTTGACTAAAGGAATAAAACATAAAACGAGACAAAGCTTGAAGACAGAGCGCTAACACAACCAGGACAATGGGTCACCCAGCACGTAGGAGTGACCCTGGCCAGCAAGCTGCAGAGGCGTGCAGGAGGAGGCTGCCCAGCACCCCACACTGGCCTACCTTTTTGGTCTTCACCGTGGAGGTGCAGCAATCCCCACCATCATAGTTGCAGAAGGCTCGGTTGTTGATGGCATCACAGTAATTGTCTCCCATGAAGGGCTACAGAGGAGGAGACAAACAGGAAGGAAACAAGGCTTCGTGATCAGCCCGGAGTGAGTGGAGGCTGTCCTCAGAGTCTCATGGAGGCCTCTATGGTCATTTCAGTCTCTCATCTTACAAACATCCAGTAAGCTTATCTGTCTTCAAATCCCAACACCCCCTTGGATAGTTAAATATTTTTTACTACACAGGAGTAGTAATAAAGATGAGTAGGAGTTAATGATAAACACTGTTGTCTGCCATGTTTTTCTCCAAAGCAGTGTTGTCTTGCAGAGAAACATACTCTTGTGTGGTGGAGTATACCAAGCCATAGGAAAGATCACCGCCTCCTCTCTGACACAGAGGGCTCATTTTACTTGAAGAAATTAAGAAAGCTTGAGCTCACTTTTCCCACTTTTCCTGGTAGTGAGTTATTAAATATTTAATTCATAATAAAATATATGCAAATAAATTTGGAACCTGATTATAAACAGCTCAGGAATCATAAATGTAAAACGTTAAGAACTCATAGGAATCAGGCACAATGATCTGTGCCTAAGGGTGGATTCCCTAACAGAGAAGTATAAAGAGACTCTGTTATGTGACTACCATAATGAGCCATGACGCCACGTGTTTTAAATGTTGTTTTTTTTTTTCTCTTTCTTTCAACAGTATGTGAGGTAGACATTACCATTCCCACTTTACAGATGGAGACTCTGAGACTCACAGTAAGAAAGAGACTTGGTCAAAAATCACACTGGCAGAAAAAGAGTAGTTATTTAATCTAATCTGGCTCCGTATCTTCTTCCTTTCATTCAATCACCACTCTAGAATATTCGAGATGGTACTGATTTACTTCTTTTCTTTTTTTTCCTCTGTGTTCTTTCAATCTTGTGATGCTTCAAAGATGAAGAAAAGATGATGGGGTCAAATCATGACTGATCTGAAGCCAGAGTCATCTTAGATGAAGTGTCCCTTTGATTCCCTACCACCTCTATGTTCCCTATCCCAACACTTAGCACACCATATTTTGTGGCTGTTTATGCTTTTATAGCAGATGCAAGTCTCTGAGCTCCTAAGAACATGAGCAATATCCAATTCATCTTTGTACCCCTGTCACCTAGAAAGCTTTGTGGCTAGGGATGGTTCTCTGATGCTCTGTGTCTCACTGATGGGAAAGAAGATGCCATCACTTAGCTCAGCCCATCACGTTGCAGCATATCACCTATGATCTTGTGGTCTCTCCTTCCCACCTTGACAGCTCAGGGGAGCACCAAGCTCATAAGGAGTCCATCCCCTGTAGCATCCCTGGATTTTGCATCTCTGCTCCAAATTCTCATTCACAAAGCGTGGGCCCTAACTCAAGAGGCCAGAATCCCTTTCATTACATATTATTAGGTTGTAAAAAATATCTTGGCAAGATGGAGTTAAGAATAAGTAAGGGCTGAGCTCAGGTGTGTAGTGTGCATGCCCGTGGCTGAGCCCAGCTGTGACTCCGCTGTGACTACTACGATGAGCACACGATTGCATTCATGTTAGAACAGAGGGGAACAAATGACAAGGGCTGAATCCTTCCCTCTGTGCCTCAGGAGGTCTGCATGTGGGCTCTGCTCCTTGCATTCTTCCTCATACAGTATATGGACAGGCTGATGAAGGGCCAGAAAGGAACTGGCTTGGTAATGAGTAATCCAGAGAAGAGAAGGAGGAAAAAGAAAAAATATATATATATATATATGAAAGTGGTTATTTTTCTTTTTTAATTTGGCTCCTGCAAAAAAAAAAAAATCTCCATTCTCATTACTAGCTACTTTCCCTATGTGGCCTTTCCTGCAGCTATCTGACTATCCATCCACATATCCATCCTTTACTCAACACTATTTACCAAATGCCTGCTCTATACACATTGCACTAAGGAAAGTGACATAATAGCGAACATTTCTATCTCCTTCACCTCTAGACCTTACATTCTAGTGAAGAAGAAGTCTTTAATCAAATAATCACACATGTAATTGGCCAGTTTCTACTCTGATAAGAGATACGAAGGAGAAGTACACGATGCTATTTGATTTGGTCAGGGAGCTCAGTAAAGGTGTCCCTGAGGAAATGACATTTCAGTTGAGATGATAAAGATGAGTAGGAGTTAATTAGGTGGGGGTGGAGGAGGGAGACTTTCTAGAGGCAAGGAACAGCATGAGAAAGTCTCTGCTGCTTAGAAATTTCTCCCGTCACTGGTTTTACTCCTGTTGCTATTTTACATGAGGAAAACAACCTGTCCTTCAAGATCTAGTGCAAATATTGCTCCTCCAAAATGCCTTCCCTAAATCACCCCCTGGGTGCTCTGTGCTTCAATAGCTTCTTGTCTTTGCTTTGTTTAGAGTCTCGGTATATCATGTTAGAATTCTCTCTTTAATTACCTATTTTATTCACTGTGAGTCTTTCTCTAATTGTTTATTTTATTTACAAGGAATAAGAGTCAGCCATTTTTGTCCCCCAGATTTCCTAGCAAAATGGTGATTTGAGCAAAACTTTTATCAAATAAATGTTCAGTGAATGTTTACTTAATAAAATGATGGATGAATGGATGGATGAAGGACAGGAAAATATCACAGGTGGGTGATAGTTACTATTTTCATTCGAATAAAACCATTGTATTTCCAGAACTTAGACTAGTGACTAGCATACAATAGGCACTCGGTGAAGCTTTGATGGACAAGCAAGGGATCAACATGGAACACAACCAGGAGCAGAGGAGAAGGGGCTCAGCGCTCCCCCCCAAACACTTTTTCTATCTTGGCTATCTCAAGAGACACTCAAAGCTTGATGATTCCTCCCTGCTCTCCGGATTTATTCCTCTTCTAAGCATACTTTCAGCCCTTAATAAGACACAAACTATTAACTCTTAGCCAAGGAGGAAAGGAGAAGATCAGGGGCACCTGCAAGGGCGAAAGTGATAAGCATCACTGTCAGGGCTCCGAGCCTGACAGGTAAGGGTCTCTGGGGCCTCACTGCTGAGTCAAAGGAGGGATCGAATTCTGCTGTCACACTGGTTGCCCAGACTGCCGACTCAGCAGAAGGGGTGCCCAGGTAACTGAAGCTGCTTTTTCCAAAAATGCTGGGCTGATCCAGAGAGAGGGAGGAAAGCAACAGCTGCAAGGTTTGGGTTTTGCCATTTCCTGGCTGAAGCTTGAAAGAGTGGGAGTTCTTCAATACTGCAATGTCAAGTGCCCTGAGAAGCTGCCATACCTCACAGAAAGAAGTGTGGAGCCAGACTGTCTTGTGAGACTTACAGATGGGGGAATGGCTCCTGGCAGGGGGTAGCCTCATGGAAGAGAAAAGCAGCAGCCCAGAAGTCAGAGACCTAGGCTCGCGCTTTGGCTCTGTAGCTCTCATGCTGTTCGAACCCAGACCAGTCCCTCCCCTCTCTGGCCTTCGTATCCTAGGTCTATACAAAAAGCAAGTAGAGCCAGATCACACTAAGATCCTTTCCAGTGTGGGGGATCCATCAGATTCTGGACCTGGCTTCTGCTTAAGCCACCATTTCCCCATCTTTAAAATCAAATTTTAGGTTTACACCATCTAGAAGAGCCTTTCTCATCCTGCCATTTTAAGAGTTCCATCAAGTGCATATTTTTCCATGGCACAATTTAGTCCCTTTCACCTGCATTTTCCTTGGTGAGCTCTAGGGAGACTCACAGAGATTGGTCATCCTTCTGGAGGAGATTTTGAGCTTCTTTTCTACTTCCATTTGAGAGGAACCAAATGGGGGAAGAGTGACACATAGAAAGGTCTTTGGGTTTCATGAGCCCTCTCTGGAGGACACATCTGTATCCCAAGAACCTGCCACCTTCAAGCTTGCAACTGGCACACAGGTGCAGGTCTCCATAAGGCCAAGACTTAGGGAATTGGTCAACTGTGCACGCAAGGGTCTGAAAGGTTCTTCCATTTCAGCTCAATGGTTGGATCTAAGACATCCACATTACCTCCGTGGTTAAAGAATGAGTGAATACTAAGATGTGGGGCACAAGGAACTCATCTGCAAATACAGGTCATGAATAAGATAAAAATGAGAAAAAGAAAACTGCGTCTTGTAGCTCTGTAAAGGCTAAATGTGGTAATGATGATAAATTTCCTGGCATATTAGAGATGCTCAATCACTACTGCCTTCCTCCTTTCCTTTCTTACAGAACCAATATTATGCAGGCCACAGGCATTGGCGACAGAAAAGCCTGCCTTGGATGGCTAGCTTTGTTATCTATGACCTGTAAGCTTGAATATGTTTCTTCATGTCTCTGTGCCTCAACTGCAGCATCTGTAAAATGGGATTGCTAATCCCTGTAAGAAGTCTGCCCAGTGGATATTCATGACCCTTTTTTTGGCAAGGTAAATGGTAGCCACCATAAGCATAGCATAACAACATTAGAATTACTTCAAGGTAGCTGAGGAGTATTTCCCTGTGACTCACCTCACAGCCTTTGACACAGTGAATCAGAGCAGGATGAGGATACCACTTGAGACCAGCAGTGCAGACAACTCTCTGCAGAGAGATGGAGACAGAGGTCAGAGGGGTTTGGGATTGGAGGCAGCCACCGCTTTGTTGGCACCACATGCAACCACTCCACCTCTCAGGCTTTCCAAGTCCTGACCTCACCCTATATTTACATGGAGAACTTGCCCAGGTACTTGTAATAACAGGAGCCATAAGATTAAAACAATATTTGCGTTCACCGTATGTGTCATGACTCTGTATTTCCCTGGCAGGAGCAATGGTTGTGGAGAAGCGGAATTGGGAGATGGAAACATGAAGAGAAAGGCCCTTCAGAAAATTCTTGACTGATCTTGGACCTACTGGTGTAGTTGGGGATAAGGTGGGAGAAGTAGAGTTTGGTGTTTGTGAGTGTGTGCAGATATGTACGTGTATGTGCATGTGTGTATGTGGCCACAGCAGGGAGATGAGAGCAAGGTGTGGAGCAGGGTGTCTCCAAGCAGGACCTGCGGACTGTTGTCATCAGAATTAAAAAGGCAAATTCCTTGAGTCTGTTACGTATCTAATGAATCTGAATCTCAGGGCCTAGACTCTTCATTTTCAAGTCTAGCCTCTTCAATAATTCTGATGGTTTGAGAGCAAGTACTCTGGAGGATGAACAAGCCAAACTCTGCTTGGAACCCCAGCAAAGCAGGGACCCTTCCTGTTGTCCTCATCACATGGATACAATTGGCTGAGGCTGCCTGGGCTTTTGTAACAGAATATTGTTCTTGCAGTTCCTCTTCATTAAAATACCCTTCCCCATCTGGGCACTTTAAGAATCTTTGGTATCTTTTAAATATCTCCCAAGACTTACTTCCTCTGTGGTGCATTTCCCAACCTGCTTAGGCAGCGCTTGTAGATATGCATATATGTACTTATTTATAGCCTCTCTTAATAATAATGATGATGATGGTGATGATGATAATGACAACTAAAATATACTGAGTGTATTTGTGGTGCTAATTACTTTATGCATTAACTTCTTTATTTCTTGCCACCCTGCTGTGAAGTGGGCATTAATCTTGTGTCACAGGAGAATAAATTCCCCAAGCTCCACAGTAGAGAAACCAAGGTTTGAAACAAGCAATTGTTCCAGAAATGATTTAAAATGGCTTATCGCATAAAATCCAACATGATGATATATTTTTAAAGTAAGTGAAAGAAGAATGATAAACAAAACTAGTAAGAGAAAATACTGTACAGAAAGGAACTATCATAAGAATCTTAAAAGCTCCTTTTCTACTCACTATAGATTCCCTGATTGCTAGATTATGATTATTTTCTTAAAAATGAAATTGTACAGGGCTGGGGTTTTGGTTCGGGGTTGGGGCCTTGGCTTGGCTTTTTTGGGGCCGTGGTTTTGTTCTTTGGCCCTTAAAATTAAGGTTTTCTTTTCCCCTTTTACTTAAAAATTAATTTTTAAAAAGATTGTACAATGAGAGGTTGTTGTGTCAGGGACCAACAACTGAGGTCTACATGGTCAGGGATCGCTCTCCTGGCTGAATGCCAATTGATTAATTTTAATTAAGAAATGAACAGTCATACGGGCCAGAATGTGGGGAATCCATGTGACCAGCCCATTCTCTCCCTGAAGGCAGACGTATATAGTAGCCAAAGTGTAATTAGGTTTCTTGGCAAGCTTGTGACAAAAGGAATCACATGACTCCAAGCTAGGAATGGGTTGGTGCCTTTCTGTTCTGCTCCACAGCATCACTGGCTCATGTGTGAGATCTCATGTGCCTGGAACAGGGCCTGGCACACAGAGGAAGCCCAATATATACTTAGGTTATGAAGGAATAGATCCATCTCAAAGTCGAGGCCATTTTACCAATGAAAAATAACTTCCTCATTTGTTCTCTTCTCTTACAGAGTCTCAGAACTCTCAGTGCCAGGCTAATTGCCAATTTAGGGGGTTAACTTTGTGTAGACTGAATTAAGTTAGAGATCTTGAACAAGGAGCTTCACATGATGATGTGCCAATCTGTTTCTCGATGTGACATCTTCTATCTGGCTCCCTATTGACACCATCTACCATTTCCCAATACACACATAAGATAGTCTACGAGAAGACCAAAAGATCTTGAGTAGGGCAGGTGTAGTTGCAACTATAACTCGATATTCCTTTGTAAATTTCTAATAGGAGTCTTGGTTCTTCCATGTGTGAATGAGCACTGGAAATGTCAGAGGCTTATCATGATGATGCATTGAGACAAATGGTTAGAGAAATGGTTTCTCAGATCAATTCCTGAAATTTCATAAGGGTAGGTTGAAGGCTTCAAACACCTCTTGACTCCCTCCAGGATCAGGCCTGGAGCACATATATATTTGAGCACATATATATTTGAGAATTATGAATGGGATTCATATTCCTTCCTCCCTCTGCTTCCCAGCCATGGTACCAGAGTGGACAAATCACCTGCTTTCCTCCTCTGTGAAACTCTTTAGTGAAGTTTTTTCCTGATTCTGAATCTGCCACCAACCAAAATCCAGAGATGTTGGAAGGTGATTGTAAAGATTCAAGAGGTAGAAAACAGCAAGTTGGGGACCCACCAGGGACTGGATCCCCATCCTTCCCCCTGTTTATCCAAGAGCTAATTTAATCCATCCGTCGGAATGTCACGATGTGGTTGTACGAGTTTCTGTCAATTGAGGTTTACCTGACGTGAGTTCAGAAAAAGGACTTTTATACTATCTGCGTGAGCCTATTTATCTTTCCAAGGCTTCTGGGTTTTCCACTATTACTCAGGGCTGCTGGCCCCACCTGTCTGACTACAGGGCCCCTCTGTGTGCTGGGGGAACTGGGAAAGGGGACAGGCACTCACTGGGAGCTGAAGGAAAGGCTAAGCTGTTTATGCCACAGATTGAGAGATCCCAGAAGGGGCCCCTCAAATGTCAGCCTTGTTTCTCCAAATGCCAGTGAAGACATTTAGGCCAGGCAGAGACTTTTCAGACCAGATTTTGTAAGAAGGCTCCATTTCCTGCCTTGGTGGATAGGGAGAATAGACTTGTCTCTTATTCTTGGCTTCAATTAACATCATCATACCAGCACCAGCACCACTGCCATCATCACCACCAGCATCATCTGTAACACCACCAGCAGTATCCCTGTCACCATCAGCACCACCACTCTCATCAACACCATCATCACCATCATCCTCATTAGCCCAAAACTAAAGGAATCACATGACTGGGTCCTGGAAATGTCAGAGGCTTGTCATGATGATGCACTGAGATAAATGGTTAGAGAAAAGAAATGGTTTCTCAGATCAGTTCCTGAAATTTCATAAGGGTAGATTGAAGGCTTCAAACACCTCTTGTCTCCATCCAGGATCAGGCCATTTATAAAATAAATGAATATT